AACTCCCCAATAAACACCCACTCCACTTCTCAAAGTTCAAAAAAAACTGAAGAATGATGACCAAAAATAAAGGAATTTATGTGGAAAAGATTGATATTCTATAGAATTCAAGTAGACAGTAAAAGAGTACAGCTCACATTAAAATCAGGTGTAAATGATGCATTTCATAATTCAGTGTTTTCTCCCAATGAATAATCTATCAGTAGGTACTCTCCACACCATTCTAAAGTAATCATCTCTCAAAATAATCCTAAATGGATTAAGGAGATGTTCAAGAGTTCTGTTCTGACATTTAACCAGAAGAAGCGAATGTTTGGTATTACAATATCAAGGGCTTCCTGTTAGCTTTCCCTACATTGTCTTACAAGCCTCATGTGAATATATCACATGACATTCAAAATGGTGGACAACAGCAAGTTGGATCCCTATATGGGACCATAAGCCTTATATGGATCTATAATATGGATAGAACATGGCCTTCTGTGGGAAAAACTCCCCCCTGACATTTAACCAAGTAACCTTCATCAAAGTCATGTACTTTTTGGCTCACACAGTGAGCCTATGGGATTGACCAGGCGTCCGTCCGTCCGTCCGTTGGTCCGTCCGTCTGTCCGTCCGTCCGTCCGTCCGTCCGTCCGTCAACATTGGCCGCACAAATTAAAACTGCTATTCGGATTGAGTCATATCCACATTCATTTTATGCATATCCATAATGCCTATTTGACCTATCATCGCCATTTCCCAAGTTCGCCCGGTTTCCGAGAAATTGCGGATTTTGACGTCAAAAAGTCAAATTTTCTGTAAATACTAGACACTTTGTTGAAGTAAAACTTTCAAATAACTTTTAGTAGTTGGTGTATATGCAACTTATGTCCTCTGAAGATTTCAAAGCTTTTGGAATTACGATTTTTGGTGTTTACTCTATAAAATTTGAAAAAAAGTAGGACTTAGTCATTTTCAGGAAACCTTTTCATGTATAAAGTCAATGGCAGGTTTTGTGATTGACAAGATTCTTAAAGTTTGCCTAATACTTGATCATTTCCTGCAATAAATTACCTCATTAATAGATTCAAGCATTCCCTACATATTTCTCAATATATGTCAGCATCAAATTTTTACCGTTTTTGAGATATTTGACGTCAAAAAACAGTAAAAATAAGTTATTTTTCAACTTGCTTCAATTTGACCAATTTTTTTTTAAATCATCTACAAGTTGCCAGGAGTTCAAATCTGACATTAGTTTTAGGATTTGACCTTTACTTGACCTTCAGTGACCTTCAAAAGGTAAAATAAGTTGATTTTTCAAATTGATTTTTGGATGCAAATTTTGGTCAGCTTAATCACAAAAGACCTTACTGAGCTCTGAATAAGTAAAATTTTCAAGGTCAAAGGTCATCAAACTAGGTCACACAACTATGCTATCTAAGTTTCTCAAAGTTCGAGACTACAAATCCAAATCAATATTTTTGTTTGAAAGTCAGGATATAAATTCCTCTGAGGGTTCCAAACTGTGTGAGCACAGGACCGTGGGTCCTTCATTTGTCTCTAATATGCTTTTGTTTCTCCATTCCGATGTTGCAAATAAACCATTCTTGCAGGACACCTATAAGAATGGTCTGAAGGAGGTATTTTAGTTTTTCTAAGAGCCCCGAACACTAAATACAGAGAATATGTTATTTATATAAGGATGATTCAAACATTTTGGACAACATTTTATGAACAAAATTAATATGTCATTGTAATTCAACAAGGATGCAACACAATATGATTAATTGCTAATACTAAGGTAAAACTAATCTGTGTTTTGATATAATATCATCAAAAAGCAACAAAAAACTTGATACATTCTAATGCCACAATATTTATTTATTTCACAAATCTACTTAAACAAACATTGCTACCCTATATATACTTAACAAACTTTCATTAACACATATATCTACAATATAAGTATATTTTTCTTATATATATCTACAATATAATTATTATATTATAGGCATACTTCTTAATTTTCAAACAGTATTTGTTAAAATATATTGATGACACTAAAGGGTGATATGTTTGACTAAAATTTTATCAAGGTTTTCTATATATTTTGTGCTATATACATTTGTAGCTCCTATTTTGTGATACATATTGAAGACATCAATTCAGAGATCTACAAGCCACTACATGTATGTATATAGTTACAAATAGCAATTTAACTGTACATATTACTTATTGTATATTCGCAAATGCAAATAGTGGCTATCGGCTAGTGGGTTGGTTGCAATTAGTAAACTCATTTAAATTTGCCAGCTCTCACCTAAAAAGCACTAGCTGACCAAAAAAGGATATTAAAGCAGCAACTAACACTGACTTTGGTATTTCAGAATTGTAAATGGCGCATAAGCATAGATGCAAAACACATTTTTAGTGTGTTCAATCATGCTACAATTGCATAAAAACTTGTCTGATTATTGTTAGTTGACAAATGGATTGTTCTTTAATTACTACTTAATTTATGCATTTTAATAGGTTTATATGGTAGCTGGTAGCTGTTAGTTGCGTTCGTGAATACAAGCTTAGTTCATGCAATAATAAATTGTAATTCCAATCAAATAAGATTTTATTTTTTCAGTTTTTGTCTCTTGAAAAATTGTGAAAAACTGCTTTCTTTTGGCAGATTGTTCCCAAACATCAAAAAAGAATCATTGCAATTTAGGACAATTCCTGAATTTATCATTGTGGGAGTGTGGACTCATATACTGGTACATGTGTATGTCACTTACTTGTTGCTTCCCTCCCCCCTTATTTAGCAAAATATATCAAGTTTTCTTTGTGATTCAGTGTTTTTCATCAATAAAAGACAAACAATTATTACATCACAAAGCAAGAAAATAAGATCATTTAAGAGTATACCGTCTTAAGGAAAACAAAGAACCAAACCATGATCTTGAAAAGGAACAATGTTTGATACCCCTTCCACCACAATTGAAGTACCATTTTCGCAATCCTGGAGCATTACACCAAGGTACATTTCATTCATACTGCAATGATTACAATTAATAAATTAAGACATGACCATTCTTTAATTGAGTTTCTCAACCAATCAGAATGAAGCATAGCCATTCTCTAATTCTCAATACATGCACGATCATGCATTTATTCAATCTACTTTGGGAATTCTATATACATGTATTGTGATATCAGACTTGGGAATGGCAAAGATAACAGTTTTTTCATGGACCTCAATTCCTATTTCTCTGAACAATGTTTTCATTTTTTTATGTTTGAATTGGACTATGATGTCAAGAGTATTGGTTATTAATTTTAGAGATAAATCATGATAGGCCATTCAAAATGGTGCATTTCTATACTCGTTGGACAGAATCTCATTACATATGCACTCACCTTTGGTTTGTGCTATGCTTGGCATTCTGTCTCACTCTTAAAGGACCATTCTCGGTTTGGAGTTATATTTTTTATTTTTTTCACAAAACAAATATTAGCGAACCCCCAATATTTCACGTGTTAATGTCCAATTGACCATGTCATCTAGGAAAATTGACCTTTTTGTCACCAGACATGTATAGAGATGGAACTAGCTATTTTTACTACATTTTGAAGTCCTTTTACATTATTTTATGGCCTATCATTATTTATTCCTTAAATTGCTAACCAATAAACCAATACTCATAACATAAAAAAATATTTCATACAAAATGAAGCATTCAGTCTCAAATTATGTTTTTTAATCTGAGTTTATATGAAAGGGGTTTAGTAATTGATAGACTTTAAGGCCATACTGGATCTCAACTACATGCATTTCTTTTGTTTTATATAAATGATAATCTATTAATCATTAGATTTGTAGTTATTTTTATTTTTGACAATTCATGTTTTACATTGTCATTTTTATTTTTTCATTAAGGTATGTCTTACTCAAATATATTAATAAATTGCTGTTTTATAGCTTGACATAGCCATTTATACAACACATATTTACATACATGTACTATCATAACTTATATATCTAAGTAGTCAAGTTTACAAATACTGAAATATTTTTCCATCTTCAAGTGCTTTTCAAGTTTTGAAGTTGATTTGCATTTCACACATAGTTAGACATGATATATCACATCTCAGCCAATCAGAATATGGAAAATAGTTGTATTACATACCTAGCCAAAGTATGTCTGGAAGTAATAGGAAAGTAAGCAGGCTATATCCATTCATGTTGCTCACTTACACCTGCTTACACACTTACCTCCAATATTGCCTGCTTTCTAACCATGGTGATATTATGATGCCATGATCCATTTACATCAAATTTTACTCGCACACAGATGTGTAACGTCATTGATCCAAAATAGCCATGGAAATAAAGGTACATAAAAGGTAATACATCAGTCACTATGACATGAAATATGCCTTCCTTGGTTCTAAAACCCTTACAAAAGAGTTTTTGGTCCAAATTCATTTTTGTTGATTATATACAAAATCTTTTGATAAGTAAAGAAAGAATCTTATGACTCAATGAATGATTTTTGTTTTCTTACATATGTGTCTTGAATGTTAGCCTTGGAATTCAGGCTACCACCATCATACGTCTCACACAAGACCTTCAAGCTTATAGTGCACCATTCATTGAGTCCTGGTGTAAATAATTTAATGATGCATGCAGTCAAGTTTTGATAGTTAGCAATTAAATGACCATGTGTTCAAAAACTATGAAACAAATAATAAAACTTATAGCCTCCTAATTACAAAAATAAAGTAATCATAATATAACAAATTAAACAAAATTTCAAAAATTCAGTAATAAATTAGCACAAGGGTCAAAAAGAAAAACAAAAACAAAAAGAGCATGACAACATACATAGAAAAGAAATATTTAAGAGCACAAGTCATAATTAAAAATAAATATGATTTTTGAACAAATAAGCCATGTCGAACACCCCAACTCTCCCATCATGTATTTGTTCATAACGTAGGGATTTCCATGGGTTATTCATGTATTATTCATAACACCACCAAGAAGTGGTGGAACAGTATTGATCAGCATTTGGCACCGGTGGTTGTGTTGGTATCTGTAAAAAAGGGATAAACTTAATCCTGTTGTACATTTAAACCTGCATTTCAATTATCCTATAACTACCTCCCTCTCATATTATTCAAAAGTAGCCTTAGTAGCCAAGTAAGTCTCATAGGCAATTTGATAATAGTTACATTTAACTAATGGTATGACATAAATAAAACTCTCACCAAGTGCTAACGCAAGCACCAATATCTATGAGGTGAGTGTGTCTCATAGAATTTTCAACCTGATAATGAATTGTTTGGTATAGCAAGCGGTTTAAGACAGTTGTATAACTATGTGAGTACTTTTCTACTAAAATTACAACTTCTTCAATTGAGAATATATTTTCCTCCAATAAAAGTCTTCAGAATTATATAAATAAATATAATCCTTATTACCTTAATTGACAGTTGAGATGTTTATGGTCAGAACATACTAATGGTATTGCTCTTGCTATTCTAATTAGTTTTTTGATATTTGATGTAGAAGCATTTTATTGTCATAATTAAAGTATGGGTCACTTAGTAATAATTTCATCCATCCATGCTTATTGTTTTTACCTGTACATACAGGCTTGTAGCCAGGAGGGGGGGGGGTAATAGGCTCCCCTTGGCTAAAACCTTTTTCATAATCATGCTGTTTTTCCACATTTCGAGCACCTTTATACTGATTGTGGTCCAAATTTTTAAAATTTGAACCCTCCTGAAATTTTTTGAAAAGTGAACCCCTCTGAAATTTTTTGAAAAGTGAACCCCCTTGACAAAACCTGGCTACGAGCCTGACATACCTGCACATTTTATAACATCATACTTCTGATTGTGAAGTGACTGCTGAAAATCTGTAGTTGTTTGAACTTACATTTTCACTTTGGTGTCTCTGACACAGCATAGCAGCCATAGCATTATGCATTGTCTTTCTAAATGGCACTATAGCTATGTAATACAGCAAAAAGTTGAAAGTAAAGTTAATCGCCTGCATCACTTCAAAAATAGCAGTCATCACAGGAAAATATCGATGTTTATTGTGATGGATAAATTCTCCATGTAACAGAAAGTTTGATAATTCAACTGGCATATTCATTATGATGAAAATGATAATAATAGTCACAAGGGTAGGTGTCAGGCGGTTTGAAGCGCTATCTTTTGATCTTCCTTGCGCGTTGGAGTGTGTTCTGCGCATCTTATATGATTTATGAAGAGCATGTATCAACAAGGCATTTGTGACGAGTAATATTATCAATGGTATAACTGATGCAAATGTCGCAAGTACAGTTCTGTATGTAATCTTATTAAAGGACAAGCATGACATAGCCCACTGCCATGAAAAGTAAACCTTCCTGGGCAATGGACTGCCAATGCCATGTGTTTTACAGGTAAACTGAACAACACTCTTCACTGTGTATTTTGGTACACATAACAGTGCACAGGTAACATATATGAATATTATCCCAGCATGCATCTTCTTGATGCTAAGGATTTCTCGGGCATGAAGAGGTTTGCAAATGACTATGCATCTGGTAAGAGCAAGTAAGACTGTTATCCATGTACTAACCAGCACAAATGTGTATGTGATCCCCTCTCTGTATGTCTTATAAAACATCCAAAAGTTATATGTTTCATATAATTGGACCTTGTCTCTCTCCATATATTGGAATGACCTTGGAAAATATGTTATGCAGTAACACAAATCTGATATGGCTAGAGCGATGAGGCCAATCTGAGATGTTTTCTCCAAGTCATTCATATTGTGACTCATTCTTTTATGCAATAAGATAACAATGTTGAGTATATTTCCCATTATTCCAATTGTGAGTATAATTGGAAGTAAATATCCCTCTACATATTTCAGAGCAGTTTTGTAGCCTTCTTCCTCCTTTGAAATCATCTTCCATAATGCTTGTGCTACAAACTCACATGTGTGATTCAGTTCTGGTGCACAGTTATCTGCCCGTTCATTATGAATTGTGAGGCTGTCATTGTTTTTGACTAGTTCTATATAGTTCTGGACAGACTCTGCCATGGCTGCTAGTTCTGTAAACAAGTATATATATTTACTATTTTATTAACATACAAATGTATATCATAACAAGATTAAACTTTTGTATTTTAAAAGCAGGGAATTGAAAATATGTGCTAATGTTAGTTTTATTTAGGGCTTGGTTTAGTCTGGCTTTATATTTCTAAGCCGCCCTCTATGTCTTCTTCAAAACCTTGTGGGGAGATGTAGGGAGGGAGGGGGTCACAAAGGCTTTTATTTGTTTATTTATTTATCATAAAATTTATCATATTTATCTTTGCTTTAGCCACAAGGTTGTTTTGGCGTTTTATCACAAAATGAATCTTTGGAGTTTCCCACTCTCCCTTCTACCTTTTCATATTTGTTATTCCATCAAACATAGTTTGGAGGGATAGAGGGAATGATTTAATCCACCTGGTGCTTTAATTGGCCAAACACAGGGCACAGTGGTTTGATATAGAACATGAGTGAGGTACCACATGGCTAAGAATAAAAAGATGTCTGTCCATTCGTCGATCCATACATATTTATGTCTGTCTGTACTTCTGTCCATATGCATGCATGTTTGTCCATCCGTCTGACTGTTGAAAGTAAACCAAGAGGAAACTAAGATGACAAAAGTAAAAGCAAAAAGAGGATAAAGAAAATAACAACAGAAACAAAGAAGAAACTAAGGAAACATAAGAGTGAAAGGGAAAGAAGAAGATAAAGAAAATAAATTCAAAAGAAGCGAGAAGAATAAACTAAAAGAAACTACAAATAGATTTTCAAGCTGGACTCAATGATGATGACATCGTCAGCCTGTAAAAAAGTCCCTGTCCATCTGTGCCATAACTCACACAACTTTAGCTCTTTTTTTGATCATATTTTTTACACATATGCCTTATGGAGGTAGAAGTTTTGCTTGGGAGCTAGTTTTAAAAATGTCCAAAAATGGTGGCCATTTTAGTGTAGATAATACAATAATTGAGGTACAATATATAAACTTTAATAGTAATATGTTTCAAATGTAAAAATTTATATGGGACATTAAAAAAGATAGAAATGTAGATATTAAAGAAACTCATGGCAGTAATCTTGAAAAAATGGTGGCCTTTACACGCTGTTTTACGATCTTTGCTCTTACTTGAGCCAGTTTGATGGGGTTTCCTTCACTTTGGCGTTGCTGTTATCTAGTTTTCGCTGGATCATGCTGGCATATTGTTTAGGTGACAATTTTTGCTTCCCAAATATAAAATCTTAATATCTGTAACTATGTTTTATTTTTGTGAGAATTTTTTATGCAGACAATATGTGTTTTCATAACATGTCAGTAAAATAGATAAAAGCTTGAAGGAGCATTAGTTTATATTGACTTCAATAAGGTTTGTATTGAAGATTTTCTTTCCTGTTATCTAAAAATCAGCTTAAAACGTATTGGATTTCTATTGAAAATTCTCAAAGAGAATATACTAGGGATTAAGGAAAGTGTTCAGTTTACCTGATTTGGGAAAATATTGGCATACACGAAACCTATTTAAAACAGCACTTATCTTATTCAAAAGCGTTGATTATCAAAGATTCCCAGCTCTCTAAAAGTTGAAAAATAAAAAATACCTGGGTGTTAATCCATAGATATTTTTTGAAAATAAGAAAAGAAATTTTGGGATTATATGGTATAATCTTATAGTAAATCAAATGTTTTAAAGTTTTGATGTTTTTCACATGAAAAATAAAAGCAAAATGCACAAAAAACATCATTCTTCATAACACTCATTGTTCTTTATTGCACCATGAGATTTTTTAATCAAATATAAGAGTCATAAGAATCTAAATCATTATATTTAATCCCTTGTAAAAACATGTTCAAACAACCTTAAATAAGCAACGGCACTCACTGTGCAATATACATTTTCTTTTTCTAGAAAATTCCTACATAGTTTCAACTTTGAGACATGGAAGATGCAAACAACCCACCCACATGTTTTTTTCTAAAATGTTGTCCTGATTCTCAACCCCTTCCACCCCCGCTTTTTTAATTTTTGCTGCATTAATGTGTTGCATTTTCAGACACGTTTAACCCCTTAAAAGGAATTAGTGATTCCTCTTAGTTTTCCCATAGGAAAACACATGTGATCCATTGCTTTCCACTAATTTTGGTCACCCATGATGGATATCTTCAAAACCCCTGAAGGAATCACTAAGTCCCTTAAAGGGGTTAACTGAGTGTCAAAACGCAACACATTGATGCAACAAAAATTGAAAAAGCAGGGATGAAAGGGGTTGAAAATCAAGACAACATTACAGAAAAAAACATGTGGGTGGGTTGTTTGCATCTTCCCTGTCGCAAAGTCTAAATTATTATATCATCTCTATGAGTGGTTTTCCTGGTAATAATACATTGGACTAACATATGTGATGCGCCTCATTAAACAGGCAATGCGCCTATTTTTGAATGAAAAAGGACAAAATATTGTTTGAGACATGTCACTTACACAGTCAATCAAATATGATAAAAACTTTAATTTGGGATAATACTGAAGTGAAAAAAAAATTACTTGCATAGAAAACAGCATTTGAAGTTCAGAGATTGAAAAAAGTGATTTACCACTTTTCACAAATAGTGTATGTTTTAAATAACTCTTGGATTAAAAGATGGTGTATGCTTGAAAATCCTTTGAAAAATGAATTGATAATTAGTGCAAACAACAATGCCATCTCTCTATGGCATTGCTAAAAACTTGACATATATAAATTGATAGAGCAAAAATATTTTGTCATGATCAAGTGTCAACTCTGATGTGGTCTGTTTGAGCTTTTTTTGGTGTCAAATGAAAGATCGGGTACTTATTAATCCATTGGAAATGAAGATCAAAAGTGAGACTTCATTTACGCACTTTGTCCCTTTAAATCTTCAGAAAATAGCCAAAACCCAACATATGACTGTCAGAAATCTGTGGCGATACTTTCCCTCCTCCTTTCAGCTTTGTATGATATAATTTTAGAGATTTACAGCTGATTATAAGTAGTTGGTATGGCCACCACTTGCTGCTTGAAAAGCAGCTGATCTGAATGAAAATGATTTCAATGAAAATTCAAAGGAAGTTCCAGCATTGCATAATCCTTTGAGCACTCTCCTCATATTCTTCAGAAATACATCCTTACTGTTTCCATTTTCTCATTTTATATAATTTACATACTTTTTAAGAGTAGCTGACTCATTTAGATATGAAAGAACTAATAAGACTTACTTTCCTACTTCAATAATTGCTACAAACTACCTGGTTGCAGATAATTGCAATTACATTACCTGGAAAGTATATTGGCATACTGAAGTGGAACTAAATTTTATTTATTCTTCTCTGTCAAATCCCCAATCTCTGTTTACATACTCTTGAGATTATAAAACAGTTTTATCTTCTATTTGATTGCTTTGCCAAAATAGAAATAAGTGTGGTTTGATGTTCATTTACTATGCATGTATTCCAAAGATTGATGTCTTTCTATATTTGTGGCTGTTTAAGTTTCCGTGGGGGTTTTCAAACAATCAATGAGATTATTCATACACTATTATTTTGTTGGATCTCTTTGAAAAATTAGACATTTTATAGGATTTCATCCTAGTAATTACACAATTTGTTCAAGCTCCTCTTTTGTCTTGAAATATCACATTTTAGACAATATACAAATATGTTTCTCATATAGTGTTCCCTTATCAGATAAAATATGTTACAGTTGATTTTTATTAGATGTATGAGTGTCAGTTTTAGCTTCTAATGTCTCTTTTGGGCAGTTTTGCAAAAAGTAGGACATAAATGATTTTATAGGAGACCATATAATTGAGATAAAAACTAAGAAATTGAAAGTGATATTTCTAACGTAGAGAACAATGCATAACATCAATCTCAGATAATAAACTATATTCTGATAATTAGGAGAGGAAAGAGTGTTTATTGTCCCAAATAGTTAAGTCCTGCAGACATTGATTATTAATTTCATAATTGAATTACAAATGTATCACGGGGTACCATCGAATAATTTTGGCAACGTACCGGAGAACGACATTTTACTAAGAAATGGCAATAATTTAGCACAATATATTTTTTAACTAGAGTTCTACTTTGATTTTGACAAAAGTAAGTATTCCATGCAATGGCTATTTCATTCATGAGTTTGTAGGAATTCTGTTGGAACCCAGTTCTGATCAAGTACGAAGTTATTGAAATCGGCGCAGTCGGACTTTACTCAGAAAGATGGTTTTTCGATTATAACTTTTTACAACATTTAAGTATAGACTTTTGAAAAAAGTACAGAATAGTCCTTATACTATTGAATAATTCTGTTATTTCTGATTCACACGACTCTGATTTGTTTAATTAAAAAAAAAGTTTTAAAAATATTACTTAGGAACGTAACCGGAGCTGGGAACCTAACCGGAGCAGATCAGTTGAATTATATAATTTAAAAAAATAAAATATATGATTTAAAGCATATATATTAATAAATACGCATTCGAACAGTCCCGTATGTTTTTAAATTAGTATATGTGCTTTAAATCATATATTTTATTTTGTTTGATTAAATAATTCAACTGATCTGCTCCGGTTACGTTCCCAGCTCCGGTTACGTTCCTAAGTAATATTTTTAAAACTTTTTTTTAATTAAACAAATCAGAGTCGTGTGATTCAGAAATAACAGAATTATTCAAAAGTATAAGGACTATTCTGTACTTTTTTCAAAAGTTTATACTTAAATGTTGTGAAAAGTTATAATCGAAAAACCATCTTTCGGAGTAAAGTCCGTCTGCGCTGATTTCAATAACTTCGTACTTGATCAGAACTGGGTTCCAACAGAATTCCTACAAACTCATGAATGAAATAGTTATTGCATGGAATACTTACTTTTGTCAAAATCAAAATAGAACTCTAGTTAAAAAATATATTGTGCTAAATTATTGCCATTTCTTAGTAAAATGTCGTTCTCCGGTACGTTGCCAAAATTATTCGATGGTACCCCGTGTGTATATACAAATAAGTAATTGCTTTGCAAGAACTATAATTACTGAAATGTCACAGAAAATTTACTCAGTTATGTAATTACATTTGAATTTGCTTCAACAAGTAATAAAGTGAATTACTATCAAATCAGGTAATCATTTTTGATATATGTAGAACTTATTTGTATAATTTAAATTACAATATACATAATTGCAATATAAAATCCTTCACTGGAAATTATATATTGGGTTTGATTTATTGAGGAGAAATTAGTAATTTGCATTCCTAACATTCCGACAGATCAAATCCAATAGTTATTTTTTATTTGCTCATCTTACTCTACTAATATATTTCACATATACAAATATAATGGTCTTACTAAACAATAGAATTTGAATATTTGAATATTGATCAATTCCAACAGCTGTCATGATTCTTATAATGTAACCATTAGGACAGACTTGTATGTTTGCATATGGCACGTTGTTGCATTGTTGATGTGCAAGTAAAATAAAATCTGGACATAAACTTTGTTGTTAATATATGTTTATACAAAGAGCAAGTTCTAAGCAGCAATTTGAGTGGAAGCATTATAAATAAATTCTTACAATGAGTCTTAACTGTATTGAAAATAAAATTACAACTGTGCCCTCTAATTGATGTGATATGTCAATACAATATGCCCCTAATTATATTGAGCGCATTTTACTTGCATTACGTCCTCTAATAGTGCTGTGTATTGTTCCGGTTCAATCTAAACTGAAGGATAAACAGTCTTTTGTAAAATCCTTTTCATTGATATCAATGTATAGTGTAATATGGATGTAACCTAAACATAGACAAATAGACATTTGTTAATAATAAACAGGATAAATAAATGATCTGGGTTGAGCTTGATAGAAAAACATAATTATTGCTCATCAAGTAGTCTTACTCTTTTTACATTTAGTGAGCTTTATGCTAATAATATTCTTAGTTTTAAGGTAGTTTCACACATAGAGGCCAAAAAATTAATTATGGAATAAAAAGCGAGATTCTATGATTCATTGCACATTATAAAATTTTATTCTATTCGTTGTTAAAAAACATAAATTCTTGTAGATTGACATCTTTGGCAATGGCCAGAATAAAATCTGATGTCATATATTTGCCATTATTCATATAATCGAATCGGTCATATATATGTGATTAAACTCGATTATAGATCAATTGTTCTTGTTATTGTGACTTTAGGTATCATTAAATTTACAATCTAGTGTATATTTTTATATTATTCATTTTATATAATTTCATTATACAGTACATGTTTCTTACTAAACTCCATGTTAGAGGATTATGGAGTAGGGATTTAATAGGATGTATTGTCTCCAAAACTTAATCACCGATTTGCACACTGGATACAACTTTTATAACTATGATTAATTAAAAGAAAAATCATATGTTACCAACTTGGTTTCCTTGTTATATATTTTCAAACAAGATGCTTTACTTTTTGTGTATGCTTTTTGTATGTCTTATTAATTATGTAGCAAATTACAAAAATATCTTAAAACACCATAACTTGGTAAAATAGTTATTAATTAAGGCCATTCAAATTATGTTGTCATGTTAACTAAAATATGTAAACTTATGTTAAAGACAAAGCTGAGCATCTTTACCTTTATAAAAATGCAACAACTGACCAAATATGAATGCAATTACGTACAACTTATTTTAATATATATTATATTTTTATTTCTATATATATATTTAGAGACTCAAAACACATGTCATGAAAAAATGCTATTACATGTAGTAACAAAATAATTACGAAATACTCAAAATAACCAGAAATATCTGTGGAAATCATCAATTGAAATTGAGTTAATATACTTATTGCTGATTCCATTTATGAGTTTTTGATGAAGATGTTTAAACGTACCTTTATGTCGGTGGTGTCTAATTTAAATCGCTACTGCTCACATTTTCCATATTATTACTTATCTGATATTTGTGATGTGATTTTAATAATTCTCATTTAATTATTGATATTTTATATTATCCTCGATGCCTGTATGTTCTGTATAATGAAATTACGATTGCAAATTTCAGGGAGATATGTAGTTTTTTCTTGAATCTCTACAGTCTTTCAGCTCTAAATTGTTTGAAGTTCAGACTATATCTGACACTGCTGCTGTAAATGCTGCATTTATATTAGCAACCACGTCCCACATCTTTATCTGACTTCTCAGGGGTTGGCTCATAAAATACACTCTGTTGATTCTTATGGTTGACTTTTATTGTACTTTTGAGTCACATACAACAACTTGATTTAATATTTATTAGCTTTTGGAAATATACTCTTGGGTCTCAGATACTATCTTATGAGATGGTTTTTATCAGAAAGTCGTAAATTGAAGCGTTGTCCATTTCACATAATTTGTTTAGTGTATACAGAATTTTCTTTATGTCAATATAGAGTACATTACGCTGAATTGTTTCTGTCCAGGGGATTGATCATTGTCATTCATTAATAGGTTTAGGGATATTGAGATTATCTTATGGTAATATACGTTATCAACAGTAATACTCAAGACTCATGCTGGTCTCTCTGTCTCTATAGGGAATTTGAATATGAAACAACAAGATAACAACAGGATAATCTATCTTAAACTGAAAAAATAAATTGTTCTTATTTTTCATCTCAGGTAAAATAACATCACATTTAGAGGCTTTTAAAGAGGGATGACAAGAAAGCACTTAATCAGACCCTCCTGGACTTTTTTGCATGTTGAGCTGTACCACATATTCACCTAGTATCTACTTACCATGAAGAAGCCCAGAATCCGCCACTTTATGTGCTTATTTTGCAATTGTGCTGACTGGTTGAATTGTTTTTGTCAAAATAATTTATCTGAAACTTGAATAAAATGGGGAAATCCATATGTTATCTGATTGGTTGTTAAATTTATTGATCAGTATTGGTTATGTGACCAAAGGAACTCTGTAAATGGCAGTTCTGAAAATTTTGAAAGCAATTGAAAACTGGCTTTAGATCTGATTGGCTGCCTGACTCAAGGGAAAGATCAATACCCGGTGATTTCAGCGGGAAGTGGCGTTTCGTTCATTGGATGAGCTGCGCGCGCACGCATAAATGTGATTATCCAATATAATTAGGGGAGGGCTATTTGAAGTAGTTTTTGGTCTCAGGCGCGACCCAGGGCTGTTGTCTTAAGGACATTTCGTTGAAAATGAGCCATTCAGCTGATAATTGGTAAGAGTTTGCGATCTTATAATGTATAACTGTTACTCAGACACATATTTTGACACGATTCTGTTGGAAATAAGCTTTGAACCGAGAGATATTCACGATTGATATGCACATTTTTGATTGTGCCATTGCTTTTCTATTGCACAATCCATGTATTGATAGAAGAAACATTAATAATACAGATTGGTTTACCTTCAATACATGGCAGACACTACATATCGGTCTATTAATACCAGTTTGTGCCTTAAATAGTTTTATATTTCCATCCACGGCCTGGAGCCTGGGTGTGTTTGTCTCTTATGTGTATGCTTGTGCATGGACTTCTAATCACTAGCAGAATTTAACATGATGCAAACTCGACATTATAACTCATGCTGTAACATTTTGACTTCGCTGGAAAACAATAGGAATTCTTTTTTCTTGCCAATCAATCATGAATCACAATCAAAATTTCAGAATGATCAATCAGGCAATGGTCCAAATCAAGTTATAACATTATATGATATTCAGCAAGAAGTCCGGTAGAAATACAGAATATTTTAACATCAAAGCTGAAAGTTAAAAGCTAATCTGTCAATTTTCTGTCTGCAAAAGAGCGTCCCAAGAGCGTTTACATTTGACACAATAACAGACTGAGGCTTTGAAATCTAGGATTCCCCAGGAAAATATGACGTCATACTAATTAGCATAAGGATTTCCCTATTGGGGTGGGTCGAGCCTTGAAAACACAATCCATAAATACATGCTAATTTCTAAGGAGATAGGAAGTGTATAACGTGTTTATCGATTTTGTTTAAAGATTTAATCAATTATCAAATTGTTTAAGTGGATAAAGTGGTCACACTTGCTTCAATTCATAGCGAAATCGACGGATAGAAACTGACCGAATTCCCGATATCCTACCCCGTATTACTGTAGGCTATAAGCACAGTGACCTACAGAGGGCGCTATCACAAACAAGTACTGGACGAACCGATAAATTCCCGGGTATTGTAACGCCCTTGCCTGACTCAAGGCATGTGCCGAGTTTGTCAACTTTCGTGTGCTCCCATCATTTGAAAGCGTTTTCCCTCAATAACTGTGACCAAACTCAATTGTGTTAAATTCTGACAGTTTGTTGGATCTATTAATTTTTCAATATATAATAGGCAATACCATACCCATAAGTTGATCTCAAGATATATCTAAGGTATGTTAGATAACATATAAGCAATTATAATGGGATATCACTGATTGTGCTGGGAGAAACCTATGGTGAAATTTACCATTAAGCCAATGTTTACAAACAATTGAGGCACTTGTTTATTCCTAGTTCCTTCTACTCAAAGATTCTTTCATCATATATTTCTTTACTCATTATTCTTTATTTCCTATAATTGACTATACTTTACTTAAATTTAAATGTGACAGAATGCATAACACATATCATAGATATCAATTCAGTTCGAAGAAAAACAAAGCATTCTGAAACAACACTTGTTTGGACCAGGGACATCTCTTGACAGCATGTGATTATATGCATATATACATTGCTTCTCTGAAATCAGTATTTTCTTATGTGTGTTCAGTAAGGCTTGATAAATGGGAGTTTGCAATAGTGTTCACCTTGAGATACAGCTACCAACCTGTTGTCCTGTATTATACAGGTACTGGTAATTTCATTCCATAGCACATTGTTTAAATTAATATAGAATATAAAGAGTTCAGTAAAATTTATGACTATCCTCCAGAAACAGAGATTGTGTTTACGCAATATCTGAAGTCAATTCTTTATTGTGGATGCTCATTGTCCTTTTAATAGATGACAAATGCTAATCTATAAATAAATGATGTAAAAAGCCTTCAGTCTCTTATTACATTTAGTTAAATTGAATTATTGGATCAATATCACCAGTCAGCAATATTTTAATCCTACAGTAACTAATCAGATCAATGCCATTGATAATATCTCCAAAGAGACTCACCAGATGATGACATTTGAACCAAGGTGTGTTAACTTAAAATTGATCTCTTGCATGGAACATATTCCCAAGTACAAATCCTATTTCCAAAATGATACATAGTTTAAGAACTGATGATTACTGGGTTCAACTTTGGCTGAAACATGCAAGTTTGTATGATATTTAAACACGAAATACTATGATAAATAATAGTATTGAAAATCCACAATTTTATCTCAATTAAAAGGCATGATAGTAAATACCCAATTATACCTTCTTATCTACATCTTTTTATCGCGTGACCTATTTCTTTATAAGGCTTCATTTAGGATTTTTTATGCATAATTATTATTCACAAATAAGCAAACAAACAAATGACCTAAAAGGTTACACTACCTGGCTCCACAATTTTACAAGTAATGATCAGACAAAAAATCACAAACATTATTAAAAAATCATCTCTCCAATTCAACTCAATGGATCTAGTTAATGGAAAGTTTATGCTTTTACACGATGAGTACCAACAAGAAGTTCTAAAAAGCAAGTTCAATGTCCTGTTTAAGAACCCCTATTCTTAATATTGAAAATGGATTAGAGCAGAACTATCCAATATGAATCTACTTGTTGAGACTCAATAAACTTGAGATCTTCTGAGAAAATGAGGATTTCAGCAAGGGTGCATTGACTTAATGTGTTGTGGGATCTTAGTTGAGGCATTCTGAAATGGCAGTAAAAACATTTAGTTTGAGGTATATTTGATAATAATTTCCAGCATTCAAGAAATTCTAAAATTTCAGAAATAACTAGTTTCATTGTTAATTTCCAGAAACATATTGTTTTTTTTGTGCATCAGATTATATTTTGGGATAATTGGGCTTTGTTTCCTTTATGACTAGCAGTGACTTTAAATGTTCCATTTCCTTACTGTGTTTTGTAGTTCTATTTATTTAGCAAATTCCTTTTGGCACACTTTCATAATCTCAAATGACCCCGAGAAGGGAAATAACTTATAAATATTGACAGGTCCATGATGCAATGATACATCAAATCATTTTTATTCTTATTAGAGAAAAGAAATATGAACAGTTTTGATAAACAGTTTTTATATTCTGAGAACATAGAGAAAATTGATAACTTATAGACAGGTTTATGGAGCATATAAATAATGAAATAAAATTGATTTTTCTGATAAACTGGAAAGTTTAGTTTTGATTTTCGTGAATAGATATTCAGAATTTAGCACAGTGTATTTGAGATTGACATGCAAAAATTACATCTCATAATTTGGTATCAAAAATTGTTTATTAAGATATAATTTACTTTGATAAGTAAAGTTGGGTAGAACCATATTGTAACAAAATTATGGAATGTGAAATTTTTTTTTTTTATTGAACAAATAATATTTTATTGAATAGGATTTTAAAATGGATTTTTAGCAAGAATGCGGGATAGAAAGAACATTGTCTCAAAGTCCAAAGGTAATTCAAAGGTAAACTTCCCTAGTCCCTTATATTATAACACAAAGTACAAAAGCACAACCATTTATAGCCTCGTTATACATTAATGAAGCATATGACATAATTACTTGTATGAAACCGTGGATATCTTTTAATAGGCTGGCAGTTCATCCCTTGTGTGTTTTGAATGTTTATTATACCAGTCATAATTTCCTACATTAACTGAACTATCCCCCAAGTGAAAACAATTATTTATCAGTAGTTGTTTTGTGATTGATGCTTTCCTCCTATGTTACCTCATGTTTTTCCACATTGATTAATGCAGACATAACAGAGGAACCATTCCTGAATGCCCAATTTGGCACATGATATATCAAAGTGGTGATTTAATAGAAGGTGCATGTAGTTTTCACACTCAGATCAACAGATAACGCTCGTAGATAGAATTAACAGAGGATTTATCTTCAAAGGCTAAGGTTCTGTTTTTTGCAATGCCGTAT